CAAGTTGCAGACGCATCTCATAAATACGTGTTCCTAAGCAAGTAGCTCTTATAGTTTTCGAGATTTTTGCATTTTTGGTTTTTCAGGTTTTGTGGGCGTTAGAGTGAGCGTGGCTTGTTCGGAAAAAAACAATTCGCATTGGGAGCATTATTTAAACCTACATGCTTAATCCAAACTTTCTATCTCTTATAGTTACCGAGATATCAGCTTTTCTAGAAATTCCGAAAACCGGCTTTTAAGCCTTGTGGGCGTATGGGTGGGCGTGGCCGGATAGTAAAGATTATACTTTTTGAATTTCAACTTTCTAGCTCCAATATTTCCTGAGATTTCAGCAATTTTAGTTTTTTGCGATTTGTGGGCGTTATAGTGGGCCTGGCAGGATGCTGTATTAAACTTGCGCTGACCTCTAGAATCTTCATGGTTAATCTCAACTTTGTATCTGTTATAGTTCTTGAGATCTCAGCCTTCATACGGACGGACGGACGGACAGACGGACATGGCTCAATCGACTTCGCTATTAATCCTGATCAAGAATATATATACTTTATAGGGTCGCAAACGCTTCCTTCTATCTGTTACATACTTTTCAACGAATCTAGTATACCCTTTTACTCTACGAGTAACGGGTATAAAGAGAGGACGTGGGTATGAGCTTGCGGTGCATTGGTGAAACTAGTGCTATAGCAACAAAAAATACACACAACAGTGAAGTCGCGAATAGGAAGCAGTCACTTGTCGTCCGATATTTATTTTTTTTTCAATATTTTTGATTATTATCCGGATCAAGCTGTAGCAGATCGATTCTTCTTTAAGACCCAAAAAAATGGCATTCTTATCGGCGCAGATGAATTCTTTTGCGTTGAATGACATCTTAATGGTAGGTCCCACTATTTAAGAGGAGCTATGTTCTACGCTGCTCCGGTCAGAATACACAAGTTTGCCCTTACATTGGACCGAAAATTCCAGCTCATAGAGTGGAGGCGGGATCCTTCTAAATCTCAGAGATTTCAAGTTGAATACCGTAACATATGAAACTTCGCCAGCTCCTTTTATCGATCCGGTAATTAATGCAGCTTGGAAGCGAAAGGTTATTCAGAAAGATTTCTATGTTGACGATTTGTTGACAGGCGCCGGAAGCGTTGAGAACCTGCAAAGCCTTCGTGATGAAGTTTCTCTGGTTTTGCCAGAGGCAGGTTTTGAATTGGCAAAGTGGTATTCAATCTGCTCAGCGATCTCCGCATCTGATAGCGCTGTTATTGGAGTGGTTTGGTAACCTGGCAAAGATTACTTTTAATTTCGATTGGATAATTCTTTCATGGATATTCGTGCGACAAAACAAAATATACTCTCTGTGACTGCGCGGCTTTTCGATCCATTGGGCCTATTATGTCCTTTGGTCGCAAAGGCAAAAATGCTTTAGATTGGGACGAGTCGCAACCAATGCAGTTACTATCGTCGTGGGAACATTGCTTCAACTGCCCGAAGTTATGGTACCGCGATTAGTTCACACACGGTTTCGCTGACGCTCCCATGCGAGCATATGGAGCGTGCATCTACGTTCGCACTCAAATTGCTAAAGGTTTAAAAGTGTCATTACTGACAGCCAACTAAAAGGTAGCTCCCCTCAAGACGAAAACTGTGTGCAGCTCACCCTTTAGCAGATCTTAATCGTGTACGGCCATTAATTAATTGCCCAACAAATACTGCGTTGGATTACATCCCATCCCTCGTCGTTTCCCGTTTTCGACAGAAAACCGAAAGAAATTTGGCGACACGCCCGATGAAAGTTAACCCAGGGCATATAGTGTCTAGAGGATATGACGTTGAAGAGCTCGTCTCGTCCATCTGGTTCGCTGGGCCATCGTTTTTACTCGACTCAGAAAGCGATTTGCCTTTAAACGCACACTTCGAACTAGCTTCAAAAGGTGTGTCTATGGAGTTACGCAAGTCGGCGTTAACTTTGATCGCTACAACAGAGCCTAATAATGGCTTGCCTCAGAAAATAGAGTCCTTTTCGTCGCACCTCAAGCTTCTGCGAGTTTTCGTGTGGGTTTTTCAATTCATTCGAAAGTGTAAGAAAATGTCAACGCCTTTCGAACAAAGTATTACGCCAAGATAACTAAATTTTGCTTTCGAAATTGTAGAAGTTATCCAATCTCACAAATTCTGTGCACCTCGACGTTGCTCCGAGTTGGTGGTCGGTTTCTGAATGCACCTATCCTGAACGAAGCCAAATTTCCATTGTTGCTATCGAAAGGCTCGCAATTCGTTACATCTTACGTGTCATAACTGTACGTTACCAATTGTCACGCTGGTCTTCGAGCTTTTGTTAGTCTTCTGCGCAAAAAAGTATGGTAAGTCAATGCTCAAGAAGTATGTCGCCGAACTGTTCGTTCGTGCATGCGCTGCTTCCGGTGCAAGCCGCAACTCTTGACGCAAATAATGGGGAACTTGCCATCAGACAGACTTCAAGCTCCCCGTCCTTTTAATATCTGTGGCGTTGATTTCTGTGGACCATTTAGCACATTGTATCGTAATCGAGGCAAGTCACCGTTCAAGTCTTACACGCCCTTGTTTTCCTGTTTTTCGTCTAAAGCGGTTCACTTAGAGTTAGTGTCTGACCTCACCACTGATACTTTTTTATTGGCATTTCAAAGGTTTGTGAGTCGTCGCGGGATTTCGGAGAAGGTGGGATGCGACAACGCGACCAACTTCGTCGGCGCAGAACGCCACCTGCAGGAGGACGGTCTATAGGCGTTCGCATCAAGAAAGGATGCGAGTTTGCGTTCATACCGCCCAAAGCACCCCACTTCGGTGGTCTATGGGAAGCAGGTGAAAAGTCTGCAAAGCACCTGTTCCTTCGGACGGTCGTCAACGAACTCTTGACTGCAAAGAAGCTCGGGACTCTCATCGAGAGCGTGGAGACGGTGCTAAACTGGAGGCCTATCGGGGCGCTAAGCATCTCTGTCCATAGCATAAGATAATTTAAGTCAAATAAAATAGTTAACATTCGAACTACCTATCGTTAGCACGTACCGTGCCCTGTCGTAGTTAATAAATTCGCTAATGCGGAAGTATCAATTTAAAACCCTGCATTTCACAAGTTTTCGTTCCTATAATATAAACTCGTATTACATATTCAAGGAGTTAAAAGAAAAGATCATTTGAATCTCATATCCCGGGCAACCTAATCCGGTGCTCGTTACATTTTATTCCTTGGTGACTGGAGCGCCATAAAAGGGTTATCTTGTTCGAAGCAGATAGCTTTCCGATCTCCAGAATTCTAGGATAGGTGTGGCTCCAGTTCGAAAAAGATGATAAAGTAGACAGTCTATCTGCGCCTCCAGCCAGGCTTGTAATACGACAAAGGCTTCATTCGAATAAATGTATTGGTAGGAATGAGAAATGTTTTTGAAGGTTCATTGATTGAAAAATATAGGTGGTCAAGAAGTCCATAGTTGTTTTGTCGTTGAGGGGAACACGGATCCGACTTTTAAAGTTTGCTGTTGAAAGGAGTCAAATTTATGGATGGTTTTAGTCTCATATGCCGGGCAGCCTAATCCGCTGCTCGGTACATTTGATTCCTTGGTAAATGGTGCTCCATAAAAGGGTAATCTTGTCTGTGGTAGGCCGCTGTCTGATCTCCAGAATTGTAGGATAGGTGTGGCTCCAGTTCCAAAAAGATGATAAAGTAGACAGTCTAGTGCGCCTCCAGCCAGGCTTGTAATATGACGAAGGCTTCTTTCCAATAAATGTATTCGTAGTTTTATAATATTAAATCTAATCTCGAAATGTTTTCTTAATTTATTTCTATGCTGGTCAAAAAGAAGTTTGGTCATCTGCATTGAAACATTTATGTCCTTAAGTCTTGTTAAAATTTCATTCAGCTTATTTAAAGCTGTTATGAAAAGCATTACTAAAAGCTGTATTATGCCGTTTTTAAAAGTCTCATCGCATTTATTATTTCTATAATACCTAAGATATGAATGTGAGCTAATACAAGAAAAGCTAAAATGCAGAGTCGTTTTACTAATATTTTAGTTACTGCATTATCCATTTCCAAAATACAAAATATTTCTTGGCAAAAGTTTGGACCTAGTAAAAAAAAGAGAGCGCAATAATCAAAGAATTAGGCCAACAAACGGTTCTGCATCGGCCCCGACCGCTCAACAGAAGGCATTAAACAAGTTGCATCAAACTTTAAGCAACAACAGACTTTATAACTTTATAAAGATTAATATTGAAACCGGATTGTGCTACAAGACAGGTTCCAGGTCAGTGAACTTTAATACTCTACATTGTACACAAAAAAAAAAAAGATTCATATAAAATATTTATTGGCTTAATTTTTCGGCGGTGCCTTTTATAACGTCTTAAACAAATAATAATTATGTTTAATATTTAGTTTGACTTCAATTATTTTTTTTTTCAATAGCCATCGATCTTAATGTTTAATTTAAAACATTTTTCCAATTATTTTTGAAGTTAATATTAATTATAAAAGAAAGAGATTATGCTTATAGAGTCCAAGGTATCTGCAAGTCGGGGCTATCCTTATTGCATTGATAAGTTTTATCTTTAAAAAATTTTTATGAATTAACAAGATTTCTCGGAAACATATGTAAATATGGAACAAAAAAGATTTGTCAATTCACCAAATTCATTAAATAAGGTTCTCATAATAACAAAGTAAAAATATATCAAAAATCACAAAGGTTGAAAATAGCTCAGAATCGTCTAGAGAAAAAAATAATTTTCTCTTAATTCAATCAAAAAATATATTTATATCAAATGTCAGTTCTCAGAAGCAGAAGAACTTATGTTTAAGTATAAAAAGATATGTTTATATCTTTAAAAAGCATTCTTGTACTTCTTACCTTCCGTAATAACAGACTAGTGCTTCCTATAAACGATAAAATATTTTTGGCTTTAGGAATAAAATAGTTTCAGTGTATCAAACATCTAATGTACAAACCCAAGCTGTATTTAACTGGTTTCAAGGCAATAGTGTGATTTCGACCTTTTGATGAAGCAACATCATATTGCATCAAGCAATAGTCGGAAAGTTTGCAGACCGATGTTCAAGTGTAGTTAAGAAATAAATATTAAATGGCATAAATAATAATAAAGTTACAGCTTCCAATTAAAAAAGCCAAATAACTATTAAAAAAAAAAATACAATTACTATGTGAATTTTTAGTAAGTTTAATTTGAAGCGGCTTAAGAAAAAAAATTTAACACCAAAATGCAAGGCCAAACTTATCAGGAGATGGTTGAAGGAAAACGTTTTTATCCGAGTAACTGTGATAATACATATGATATGGAGTTGCTGAAGGTTAATAATTTCTACGAACCCAAAAATAATATAGTGCAAAGTTCGAGCGATTTTCGAAAACGTTCAACTAATTTTGATGGATACCTAGGCCAGATTAGAAGTCTATCTAAAATCAACCATAGTCATCAAATCGGTACAAGTCTATCTTTAATTAGATCTGAGAATTTCTTATGCTATCCAAAACCACCAAAACCGAAACGCCGTGAATTTAGCACATATATAAATAACCCATCAGAAAAATGTCAAAATTATAGAACAGGAGCCAGTACTGTTACTAGCGCCATCAGATCACGAGCAGATCGAATCGCACGCATAGAAACAAGAGATTACAAGTTAAACACAAAACTAAAGCTTCAAATTGATAAACCGACAACGAAACCCAATGAAACCAGCCCCAAAATATCTCGATGCTTTTTTCTAAAAAGTTTCTACGATAAGGGCATCTCGGCTCCATCTAATCATTACAGCAAAGAAAAATGTAATCATTTCCAAATGTGCCATGATGGGGAATCTGCTGAATACGAAAATATTAAAGAACACATAGTGACCAAAAATTATGAAAGTCTTTATAGATTTGATAAAGTAAAACCCCATGAAAACCTTAACGATTTGCAGAACTTTTCGAAAAAAAATGTAACCAAGGCTACAACTACTGAATTGTTAAAAGCTACCGCAGAAAAAGTAAAGAAGTGTAATATTGATTTGGGACGCAAATTAAAAAGTTTAAATGATATACAACAGGAGCTAACACTTAATGGCAGTTTAGTTTTATTGAACGCCGACTCTCGACAATCACCTACTGCCAATATCCGTTCTGGGAAATTTATCACACCTTTTAAAATGGAAAACGGAGCTATATTTTCAAAAGGCAACTACAACGACATAAATAAATTTATGGCACCGTCTAGGTTGCACTCAATTCGTTTTGTATCAAGCACTTCGGTTTCATTGTGCAGCTGCAGCGGAACCTGTTTGGGTAACAGTTCTGAGCATAGTTATGAAGAAGATTGCAGTGAATGGAATGAGCACAAATATTCCAGAGTACCTTTGTACTACTATTCCCATAGTTGTTCCAATGCCTTGGAGGGTGTTTTTAGGAACAACTCTTATGACGACTTTCCGACCAACCTGGACGATAACTGTAGCACGTATTCTTGTGACGGTGATGATTGCTCTTACTTCGATAGAAATTCCTGCGATTCATCTAGTTCTATACAAAAACTTGAAACCAGGAGTGAAACCGAAAATTTTAAACAAAAAAAGGTAATTCTGCTAAAGGTAAGATGCAAAAGGTAGGATCAAAAAATGCTAGGTTTCGAAGTTAACGTTTCTGCTGGTATCGCTGAAGCGTGACTTGGTGATATACAGTATATAACTGATTTGGCCTATTTATTTGTACCTTAACGCTTAATTACGATTTATATGAGCTGTTTTCAAGAGGAAATGATTTAATCGAGTTCCGTGACTATAAGATACACGTTACTGTCTTATTCAATTTTTTTTTAATTTTAAGCGTCTTTTAGGCGTTAGAGTGGAGCTGGACGGATGATAAAACCACCTTGAGCTGCGGTATCACTTAAAGTTTCCGAGATGTTAGTGTTTTACGTTTTTCACGTGGACGCTTCGGTTGTGTCATTGGAAACTGCATGATTAATCCCAACTTTTTATCACTTATTGTCTCCTAGCGTTTCTACAGAAACCTGGATCTGTTTCTCGCAAACAGTGTGCGTGTCTGGATAATAGAAAAAGCTTAAGATGTGCTGGCATCTGAAAAATACACATGTCTAATCCTCACTCTCTAACTTATACAGTCGGCACATAATTTATTCGTACCCCCATGAGTTTCAAGTTTATTCCTTAATATCTCCAGAAATACATAATGGAATTAAAATGTAATATCTCAAATGAAAGATATACATTTCGACCATAACATAAAATAACAAGTTTAAACTTAAATACTAGATAATCTCATAAAATGAAGCCATGAAGGAAAATACTTGATTCCAGCTTTTAAGAGCGTTGGCAAGAATGTAATGGTTTATGGGTGTATAGCAGCAGGTGGAGTGGGTCGAATGGTCTTTATGGAAGATAAAATTAATAAATTTATGTATAAAGTCATTTTAGGCCAAAATTTAATTCCAAGTGCTCTTAAACTTGGACAGAATCCAGCGTCTTTCGTATTTCAAAAAGATAACGACCCGAAATATTTGTCGTATTTAGTGCAAGAGTGGCTTCTATATCACTGCAAGGATCAAGAACCGACTCTACAATCACCAGATTTGAACTCTTATGGGATATTTTATGGGATATCGTCCAGAAAAGAACAACATATCCTTGAAGGAATCTTTAAAAAGCGCATTAATACCTGAATGGGATTTAATTGATGCTGACGAGACGAGCAACTTTATAAAAAGCATGTGTCGACGTTTACAAGCTTCCATTAAGGCCAACGAAGGACCCACTAAAGATTAAAGTCCTTACGTATTTCTCGAGTTATTAGGGAATAAACTTCCAACTCATGGATGTACGAATAAATTATGTGCCAACTGTAGTTAGTCAATATAGTATTTGTTGCGCGGTACTACATGACTAAATCCATGTTTTTCTTAATGAAAGAGTAAAAATGGTGCACGGAAGTAATTGTTTTAAATTATTTTATTTTAAGATTCAAAATTTAACAAAAACGTTTTGAGGTCCATTACTGTTTTTCCTACGAAATCATGAAAACTAAGAAATCTTACATTAACAAAGTATTCGTTTTTTTGATTTAGCAATAAAGCCGTTGGTTTCCTTAATAGCTTCCAAGCCTCTCTGAATCAATTCCACTCATTTTTGGTACGTTTCTTCGGATATACTTGGCCATTCCATTTTTCTAATATCTTTTAGATATTATTTTTCCACGAAATCGTCTTTTCGCGGAATTTGAGCTTAAGGTTGACCAGCAAATTTCAGATGGTGTTGACAACTGGCCACATTTTTGTCTTTAAAAAAAATTAAATTTTCGCCTTCTAGACCCAATTTAGCAGCACTATAGTGGAGATTTTCCTTCAGTGCATTCAATTACCGAGTCAGAAATTGTCCGCCTTAATTTTGCCTTCTTTTAATTTCGAGTCCAGAGAAAATGTTTGGAGCTTTGTAGAAAAATTGTTAATTTCGAGGCTGTAAATATAATACGAATTATTAATCCGGTACTGTGTTGAGTGATTTTTATTCTTTTCTTTTTTTGAATGACTGAGACATGGATATACACGTATAACACGTGGTTTGGCACATGAATAGTAGCTTTATTGATTCAAAATATTCATTCCAATTAATCCATAAAAAATAAGCAATTAGAACAAAAATAAGGGAACTTCCTATTGTTATTTAAAACATTTTGATAGTACGAATATTTGCGAAATTTGTATTCAATTAGCGCTGTAGTTTTTCGAAAGTAATTCTTTTTTGGTCTGAGGAATTTTAAATTTATAAAGGAAATTCAGAGCTGGAGATTCAATGTATGATAAGTTGCATCTTACTTAAAGGGAATAACAAACTGTGTTTGTGTGCATCACACTGGTACTTAAAGTTTTCGACAAAATTGTGTTCGGCAAAATGAAGGCAGAGCAAATTATATTTTTTTTACTATTTCGAAATTTTTGCAATGCCATAATTTAGTTGCTTAGTAAAGGTAAATAAAGAGTGGCCCACAAAAGATTTGCGTTCTTAAATCGATATAAAAAACGTGTATTTTTGATTGCTTCAACTGGCTGTGCAGTAGCCCATTCAGTTGACCCAATTTTTAAACACATTTTCGATAGAATGGCCCTCAATGGCCCTGATGGCCCTGATGGCAACTTCAATCTCGTGATTCAATGGTCTCTGGGTGTTTGGCGTAACACTAATCCTTGAAGCCACCCCATAAAAAATAGTCCAATGGTATCAAATCGCAGCTGCGAGGCGGCCAGTTGACATCGCCGTTTCGGCTTATGCGATTTTCGAACGTACCGCGCAAAAGATCGATTGTGACGTTGGCTTTGTCGACATAGAGTCCTCCACCATTCGGGGAAAGAAAGTCGTTAAACATGCCGCGAAAGCGGACACCATTAACAGTTACGGCGGCTCCTTCCTCGTGCCGAGTTGACGTCGACGGGTTGTCATTGACACTTTCGGCCACCGCAGCGATATTTTCGACCGACCGAACTGGACGAGCACGTAAACTCGTTCTTTTATCCACAAACGATCCAGTCTCACGCACACGATTCACAAATCTATTCACAAACTGCGTGAAAGGCGATTTTCTTCGAGCGTAAGCTTAACCATTTCGTATAACAACGAACCTTCTACTAAATATGTGACACATTGACAATGATATTCGAAATTTCAAAGTCAAAATTATCGATAATTCAAAAAGCAAACGCTATATGGGACCCCCTGTAGTTGAGTTGACTACTTCTTTACTAGATTCGACAGAATTGGTTGCTAAGCTGCCATTTTCTCGTTTAAGTACTGCACTAAGTGATTTTGTAGTGATATCTTCATCATCAAGATCATCATCATCTACACATACACAACATATTTTTCTGATATGATACCTGCCTCTATCACCCTTTATGGGTGACACTTCATTTTTATAAAGCGTTTTTTAAGGATTTCTTCGATGATATTTTCTGTAGCATATTCCATAAATGTTTTATGGGATTCAAATCTGGTGATTGCAGAGGCGGTGTAAGCTCCTTGCAGTGATATAAATGCCACTCTTGCACTAAATATGAAAAATATTTTGGGTCGTTATCTTATTGAAATACGAACGACGATGGATACAGTACAAATTTAAGAGAACTTGGAATTCAATTTTGTGCGTTCAAAAATGACTTTTTTATGTTAGTAAGGAAATTATCTAGTATTTAGGTTAAAACTTGTTAGTTTTATGTTAAAAATATATGCTCGAAATGTATATCTTTCATTTGAGATATTAAATTTTAATTTTCGTTACAAACTTGCCACTCATGGGAGTACGAATAATTTATGTGCGAATGTACAGTGTTGGAAAAAATAATAGAAACGAATTTTCACTTTCGGTTTGAATACGTATTTTTAATAAGGAACGTGGTGATGAGTGGATATTTTAATTTTTTTATACATTTTTTATATACATTTATCTTACATACTAAAAACAAAAATGCATTTAACTTTATTCATTTAGCTAAAAAATTATATTTATGTTAAATTTCATGTTTTTGACTTGGAAATAAAAATAGAAACGAACTGACTAATCGTCTTACCAATTGACTAGCTTAGCAAAATTAACCATGAAATGTTTTCAGGTTTAATATTTTGTTGCGGTACCATGGTTTTTCAAAAATTCCGGCACACATACGAGGCATAGACTCCACCAGATAGGAGCATATTGCTGGCTCAATGGAGTACCACTCCTCCTGGACTTTCTCCCACAAATGCTCCTTTTTTTTTTGGCTGGAAACCACATAAACGTTTTTAAGAATGCCCCTCAAATACTCAATACGGTTTAAGTCGGGTGACTAAGCTGACCAATCCATAACGCCGACTTTATTGTCCTGGATCCCCTTTTTAGCAAGCTACGATGTGTCTTTGGGATCGTTATCCTGAATAATTTCCCACTTCAAAGGCATTTCATCTTCGGCATATGTTAACTTAACGTCCATCATTATGTTTAAATAGTCTGTAGCACAGATATTGCCCTGTATCCAATATAGTGGACCAACACCTGAAGCAGAGAAACATCCCCATAGCATTATGCTGCCACCAAAAACCAAGAGACCCTCCCGAACTGGAAAAATATCCTTTGGTCCGATGAGACAAAAATTGATTTGTTTGGATCTGATGGTAGACTCCATGTTAGATGTCCAAAAAACACAGCATTCGATCCCAAATACACCAAAAGGACGATCAAACATGAGATGGCAACATAATGCTATATACATCTAATAAATCAAAAAATTAAAATTAAAATATCCACTCATCACCACCTTCCTTATTAAAAATACGTATTCAAACCCAAAGTGAAAATTCGTTTCTATTATTTCTTCCATCACTGTATATATTTATGCTTTTGGTTCATAATTAAAGTTTTATTTTTCGGTTTCACTTATTTGGTGTCTTCTAGCATTTATTTCCGTTCTTTTTAAAACTGGAAGGTTTAAGAACATATTTTTTGTCCATTCATTAATTTATTAGATTTTAAATCTTAGAGTAAAAGAATACGAAGATACGCCATCGGAGCTTGGAATTGAATTAAGCCGCTTGACTTTTGTAGACGCAACAAGAAGAAGCAATTATGGCTTGCATTTATAGTGCAATCATGAATCATAAATCATAAGCATTCTTACAGAGACGTAACATATTTTTCCGATCTGGTACCTGCCTTTATAAGCGCCGAAGGTAAGGTAAGGCGTTGAAAATAACCGCCTCCGTAGAGCTGGAAACCATTTTTAAACCCCATACTCGTAGAGTAAAAGGGTATACTAGATTCGTTGAAAATTATGTAACAGGTAGAAGGAAGCGTTTCCCCTATATAGTATATATATATTGTTGATCAGGATCAATAGCGAAGTCGATTGAGCCATGTCCGTCTGTCCATACGTCCGTATGAACGCTGAGATCTTAGGAACTATAAGAGATACAAAGTTGAGATTAACCATGAAGATTCTTGACGTAGCAACCTACAAATGCCTACAAATTGCTTAAAACTAAAATTGCGGAAATCCCAGGAACTATTAGAAATAGGAAGTTGAAATCCAGTATGTATAATCTTTAGATGCTAGCGCATCTTAAAGTGGTACTATTATCCGGCCACACCCATCCATACGCCCACCAAGCTCAAAAGACGGTTTTCGCATTTTCTAGAAAAGCGGATATCTCGGTAACTATTCGTTAAACGTCTGAAAGAGATGCCTCTGAAACTTGCCACGAGGTTTCAACCGGCCACGCCCACTTTAACGCCCACAAACCGCGAAAAACTGTGGCGTCTATAATATTATTATGAATGCCTTCGTTTGACCTTGTATAACTTATTTTTGTTAATATCTATCGATTTACCAACGATTTTTTATATCGGAGCATTATTTTGCTATTTATGAAGAAATTTAGGTTCTAAGACCTCATGTGGCTTGTGACGTCACTATCAGTTACTCAAAATGCTTTCTCTGACAATAGGTGGCGCCTTGTGAATTTCTACAAGCAAAATTAATATTTTAAAATTGTTTAAAACAGTAACGGGTATCTTATACTTGCGGCACTAGACTACAGCGTTTCCTCTTGTTTAATTTAAAAAAAGATGTTTAAATTCTTTTATGGTTGGTTGGTGGGCATCCTGTTAACATTACATTTAAATTTAATCTACTGAATCTATTCTACTTACGAAAATACGAAAAACGAATTAAAAAAGCTTAAACCTTTTTTCAGGATGCTGAACTACGTTTTCTCAGGCATGGTCATGTACTAAAGGAAATTTTGGAGACTGAGCGCATTTACGTAAATGAAATGAGCTCGATCATAAAGGTAATGAAATATGAACATTCTATTCTATGGCATTCTTTTGTATAATGAAGACCTTTCACTCCGTTGGTTTTACACAAAGTTAATGCATCAAATAATATGGATTCGTATTCTTATTTAATACTATTATTTGTCGAACGTTGATGTACTCTTATCACTAAAAACGAGTTCTTAAGCGCGAAATCCATATATTGCGAACAAAATTATTTAATAGAGAAAAAACGCTATGGGAACATAACTAACTACTACGCAGATATGATAAAATTCTGTATCTCAAGACAGAAGTAGAATACAAAATAAATAATGAAGAGCAGTAAATTTAAAACAAATCACACTAAAGGGTTCTTGCGGCAAAGCATTGTATGTACATCTAGGCAATTAAATGGTTCCAAACTACGTGATGGCGGCGTATTATTTATCTTATCTAGTAATTGTATAATATTATCCCTAAGAAGATTTGGCTAAAAATTGCGCAAAACATAATTTTGCGTTTCACCAGTAAATGTAAATTCAGAGGAAAGAGGAAAGAGGAAACGCTATATTCGAGTGCCGCGACTATAAGATACCCCATTCTGTTTTACATAATTTTAAAATATTCATTTTGCTAGTGGAAATTCACAAGGCGCCACATATTGTCAGAGAAAGCAAGTTGAGTAACTGATGGTTTAAAAATCTTTGGTAAATCGAGAGATATTAGCAGAAATAAGTTATACAAGGTCAAACGAGGGCATTCATAATAATATTATAGACGCCACAGTTTTTCGCGGTTTGTGGGCGTTAGAGTGGACGTGGCCGGATGAAAAATCATGGCAAGTTGCTGTGGTGTATGTGTTGTGTGTCTTAAGTACGTATTCTTAAGCCTAACTTTCTAGCACTAATAGGTCCCAAGAGTTTTGCATTTTCGGTTTCTGGGTTTTGTGGGCGTAACAGTGGGCGTGGGTAGATAGAAGAAAAACAATTCTCATTGGGGCATCATAAAAACATACATGATTAATCCGAACTTTCTATCACGTATAGATACCGAGATATCAGCTTTTCTAAAAAATGCGAAAACCGTCTTTTGAGCTATTGGTGGGTGTGGCCAGATAATAGTATTTTGAAGATTTCTGGGTGCAGCTATCTCAGCAGCTTGGTTTATCTTTTGCATGAAAAGGCTGATGTCATTGTCAATGTCTGAAGGTTCCTGAATTTGTAAATTAACCCCGCTCAGTTGTTCTTGGAATGGTGTATAAGCGTTCATATTAGCTCCTCTGGGAAAGAGTTGCAAGCGCTGCGGTTTTGTCACAGGTGTGGCATGCAGTGTGGCCAGGATAGGAATGTGGTCCGAGGAGAGCTTAGGAGTATTCTTACTTGTAGTCTGTCTATGACGTGACCATAGATTATGAAAAAATAAAGTGTTGTCGGTGTGATCAGGGGTTATATGAATAAACAAGAGGAAACGCTATAGTTGAGTTTCTCGACTATAAGATACCCGTTACTGTCTTACACAATTTTAAAATATTCATTTTGCTAGTGGAAACTCCCAAAGCGCCACCTATTGTCGGAGAAAGCATGTTGAGTAATTTATAGTGACGTCTCTGCCCATGTGAAGCTTTATAATCTACATTTCTTTATAAATCGCAAAAGAATGTTCCGATTTGAAAATTTTTTGATAAATCGATAGATATTCAAAGATATTATGTTTTACACGGTAAAACGAAGACATACACTATAATATAATGGACGCCGAGGTTTTCCGCGGAAAAAAACAACTTACAACTCTTATGGTTACCGAGATATCTGCTTTTCTACAAAATGCGATAACCGTCTTTGCTACGCTTAATAGTGGATGTTGCCGGATAATTCCACCACCATTAGATGCGCTGGCATCTCAAGATTTTACAACTTAATTTCAACTCTCCAGCTCTTATAGTTTCTACGATTTTCGCAATTTTAATTTTCCGTGATCTGTGGGCTTTAGATGCTGAAGTAAACTTGCGCTGCGTAGGGACCTTAAGATTCTTAGCGTTCATACGGACAGACGGACATGTCCCAATCGATTTCGCTATTGTTTCGAAGGTGGTAAACCCTTTTACTCTACAAATAACCAGTAACTACGCTTAAAACATCACTCTATAATACATATTTGATGGATAAAGTCTAATGATCTTCAGAATGGGTGTTGCTATAAGGAAAGGGTGCTAAGACTTTTAGTCTTGTCAACGGTAGAAGATAGTCCTACGAACGATTTCAGATGTTTTAAAATCATTATGCATTTAATACTGAACTGTACATCGAATCGAGTCGCTTGACTTTCGTAGATTTACTGTTAGAGACATTACTGTTATGATCGGAGTTAAATATTGTTTGGTACCGAAAACGCATAATTACTTGCAAAAAAGTCGTATAAGAAAAAATTAAAGAGCTATCGCTGGAGTTGACTTGATGGAGCTTTGATAAAAGCCAAAATGAAACTTATAAGCTGTACCATGGCTAAACGTGGTCGGCAAGCCGATTGCTTGTCATACAAAAATGCTGACACTAGCAGAAAATGCATAACTCACAGTCTGCATATAAAGGCACTAAGGTGACCCGAGAAAGAACCTTGTATAAGTGTGAAATGTCTCCTATATCGTTTTGTTTTGCTTTAATAATTTTATTAACAGTATCTGTGAGCTTATTGATTGTATCATGCGTTTGCGTGTTGATGATTATCAGCCTGTTCTTTGACTCTATCACCGGGACTCGGACATTGTAAGCATTTCAATGTCAAATGAGTCAGGATGACCGCTACCACCTTAAGTGCGGTAGCTAAAAAGTCTAGACTCCGGGCCATCGTATGGTGTACTTTTAATACGGTCAATAAGCTGCTAATATCAGTTTCGACCTCTAGCAATTTTCGCATTTGCGACATTGAGGAAAAAATCGGACAATTCAGCAGTTTCGTCTATCATTGCTGAGTATTCCATTAAACTCCTTCAGTGCTCTTCTGATGATAAAATGGTCCACAGGTACTCAAACGCGCTGCGATGGCTCTCATAAAATTCGACCCCCCCCTTTTTTGACATATGTTTGTTCACCGAGCCATTCTTTCCCTTGAGTATGGACGTAAATGGTCTTGCTATAGAAGTGAAGTCTTTGCCAAAGCTTCGCCAATAACTGGCCAATCCTAGGAAAGATCTAAAGATGAACAAGGTCCAGGGTAGAGTTCTCTAGAATCATAAAAATACCTGGCATTGGGTAACGATCAGCAATGGTCCATTCATTCAGTTTCCTAAAATTAATCTCCAGTCTTTTTATACCCGTTACTCGTAGACTAAAAGGGTAGACTATATTTCTTGAAAAGTATGTAACAGGTAAAAGGAAGCTTTTCCGACCCTATAAAGTATATATATTCTTGATCAGGATCAATAGCGAAGTCGATTGAGCCATGTCCGTCTGTCCGTCTGTCCGTACGTCCGTATGAACGCTGAGATCTTAGAAACGATAAGAGATACAAAGTTGAGAATAACCATGAGGGTTCTTGAGGTCCCTACGCAGCGGTAGTTTATTACAGCATCCTGCCGCGCCCACTCTAACACCTATAAATCGCGAAAAACTAAAATCGCTGAAATTCCAGGAACTATTAGAACTAGAAAGTTGAAATTCATAATGTATAATCTTTAGATGCCAGCGCATCTTATAGTGGTACTATTATGCGTCCACACCCACACATACGACCACCAAGTATGCTTTTTTTGGCAATAGGTGGCGCCCTGTGAATTTTTATTAGCAAAATGAATATTTTAAAATTGTGTAAAATAGTAACGGGAATCGTATAGTCGCGGCACGCGACTACTGGCTACCTAGAAGGGCGAATAATACCGATCTTTGGTAGCTGTTTGATTTTTTTTATTAACAAATTCAGCCGCTCCCATGGGATATATAGCCTACAATAAACTGGTTCGTTACTTTCCGTACGAGTCCTAGCAATGACCGAGGTGTTAAATGGAAGCTCCTCGTTCGAGTTCGAAAACACTTTTCTTCTCTTAAGGATAATTTTCCTAGATTCTGCTTTCACTGACTTTGGGACTACTATTTCATCGACATTTGTGAAATTCACGTTGGGACAGTCGAAGAATTTAAGCTGTTCGCTGACGTTTCCGTGCCTAATTTCGCTGATACGTGAGTCTAATGCCGCTCCCGCCTGCGTTAGCAAATCGAAACCTATAATAGCATCAAAAGTACTTAGAGTATCTAGCAAAAAGAAGGCGGCCTTTAGGCCAAATATATGCATTAAGCATTTGTTTTTTATTTTACTGGAGCCATGTATGGTACTCACAGTGAATGGGGAGTCGACAGGCATTATATGTTTTAACTCCTTTATGGGCTTAACATAATTCTTTACCGCCCCAGTGTCTATCAGAATTTTCATAGTTCGAGTCAAGTGAGTCGTTGTCCTGCTCAATTACATTCAGTGCGCCTTCCATTGCTTCTTACACTGTTGGCCCTTGTGGAAGTAAGTATTCTAATTTCTCTGCTCGACAGCATTGGCATATGTGGCCGCGAACATACTTCGTTCAATACTGGCCTCTGCTTCCCTAGCGAGTGCCAGTGCTGCTGGCAGAACTTTGGGCTGCGCTGGGAACACGACCGCAGTGAGCAGTGTGACTCTTACTGAGTCTAACGATTTTGTTTGTTACAAGGGCTAACTTTCGTTCAACCTCATCATATTTACCTCATACCTCCCCGATTCAAGCCCTTGCCGTAAGTGGTGCAAGGACTTGTTATCTGCGTAAGAGCAGTCTAATCCAGCCAAAAGGCATCAAAATGAAGCACTGTATTTTGCGATACCAGCAGCGCTCATCCCCTATCCCGGTAAATTCTGGAATCGGCTTTACTCTGTGTAACAGTATGTCGCACGCCACTGGTATTGGATTCACAGCTATACTCTGATATGTAAACTACTGTTCCTGCTAATCGTTTCTCTGAACTGTCGAACATCAACAGTGATATTGAGCAACAACAGTAATAATCTCATCCGT